CCCCAAAACCCCAAAACCCCAAAACCCCAAAACCCCAAAATGTCGAAATTAATAATATATAAACAGCTTTAGGCAAATGGAAATGAGAATAATGGTAAGGAAGGTTGGTAAACCGTTTCTTTAGAGGTTCGAAAATAGTAAAGCTCAGAACAATTGTTATATAAATTCAGTGCTGCATATTTATTTGAGAGTCCATCAAATCAAGGAGGGGCTAGAGAGAATCCTCTCAAGAACTACTGAAGATAAGTGACCCTCTAAAATTAGTGAATATGGAGGAGAAAGCCTTAGAGCCTTCACTGCTTTAATGGAGGTTGTAGAAAAAGCTTATGAAGACCCTGATGCCATAGTTCCTATGAACTCCTTCAGAAAGATTTTAGGAAACGCCTATCCTCATACCTTTAAATATGGTGCTACGGGCGACGCTCAGACGTTCTTTAGTTGGTTGCATCAATTATTCACACAAAATTTGCCAGGGAAGCAAGAAATTTCAGACATTGTGAAGGAGACTTATGAGATGGAATTGATTAAATTTGGATTCGGAAATGAATCATCGTTTGACGATGAAGGTAAGTTGACCCTAATCGATATATTTATCATACCTCATCGCCACTTGGAAATATTATAACTTTGCTTCATTTAAATATTGCAATTTTTGAGAGCTTTGTGCAATCAAAAAATTTCTTACAAATATTTAGTTTTCTAACTTTCTGATAGCTAAGAAATCATTCTGGTATACAGTGCCGATGTATTCTGTGATTCCTGAGCTGGAGAACAGGTATTCCAAGTTCCCAGAGGATCTTTTGCAAAATGTGCAAGGGAAATTTGTCGATTTAGTAAAGGCAACCTCCTGTTATGATAAAAAAGGGCAGAAAGAGGCTCTCAGAGCTGTTTGCAGAGGGACTAAGATGCCTGAGATCTCTATATCTGTCGACTTTCTACAACCTCCGAAGATATTAACTTTCTATCTGGAGTATCAAAATTACTTTGATAATATAAATATGACGCAATTGTTTAAAGTAGAGGTTACTTTAATAAATATAGGATGAAGAACTAATTGAAGATTCTTTTGCTACCAGGGTCAAATTAATCCACCTACTTCCTCAGGAGTTTAGCTTGTAAGCCTACATTTATGCAGCTTTTAATTTTTATAGGGATATCCTTTGACAAGATACCCGAATTGGCCAAGAGTAAGTTACAGCATACGATCTTATTAGTGCTATCCAATGCTAATTTTTCTGAAAAGATTCGTTATGGAAAATGCTAAACTTTTGTATAGTGAGTGTAGCTTAGAAGTGAGCTACGATTCATTCAAAGATAACCCCCAGAATGTGTTTTACACTCTAAAATCCTTCATCGGATATTATGGATGTCATTATATGTCGTTCATATTTGAAGATGGCACTTGGTTCCTTTGTGAAGACACCAGGGTCAAATCTATTGGAGATTTCGATGAAATGCGCATTTACATCGAAAAATGTAAGATCATCCCATATTTGGTCTTCTATGAACGAGTTTATCGGGTAAGCAAACTTTACAATTTTGTTCTCTCCCGAATTATGCTGATCAAGTCCATAGAAAGAAGAAGAGAAGTTAGCTAAACTCGAGCTTTCAACAGAGAGCACTAATGACTGGGAGATCTCCAGTGCTGACAAGAAAGATGCCATTAAGACAAAAAGTCCACTAGGAATCTCTGGATTTGATACCAAAGCCTCCAAGCCTACGAAAGAGGATAATAAGAAAAGCGAGTAAGTTTGCCTATGTTTATTTCTAGTGACGAGTCTGAATATTATGAAGATAAAAAGGGTTATGAATACGACAGTTCAGATGTAAGTTTTCATACTTAATCCCATAGGGAGAGCTCTACTGAAGCATTTACAAAGGCTACCAGTACTGAAGAAGAGGTAAATGTAAGCTCTTACATTTCTATTACTTTTTTGAATTTTATTAACCTCCTTTATAGCAAAAATTTATTTGGAAGAAAATAATATGGATGACTTGTTAAAGCCTAACCAGTACCGAAAATTGGTTTCAGGTAAGAAATAATCAATTCTGTGCTAACAGGTGCTTATAGATAGAAGAAGTATGAAAGGAGCCAGCCATAAATTCGTTTAAGACACCTACAAACGTTCAAAACTTGCATATGCTAGTTTTTATAAAATTAATATATTATATGTGGAATAAAAGTATTACGTCCAACCGATGCTCAATTCTTGGGGTTTTGGGGTTTTGGGGTTTTGGGGTTTTGGGGTTTTGGGGTTTTGGGGTTTTGGGG